GTCCTCCTAATCGATTGCCAGAATGACGAACGTCGAACGGCCCTGTTCGATTCGGATTTTTGCCGTAAATTAACCGCGCTCCTTTCTGACTTCCTTTTTCCTTCCAGTTCCACCACCGAATCATGATTGGCGTGCAGCAACAAACCTATATCTCGACGTTACCCATCGGTTCTAATGGGTGCCTGGGAGACAATATCCGCCGACCGTTGTCGAAAAACTCTATGATCAACATCCTGTATCTGCTCCCCCTCCTTTGTGGCGTCTCGCCTATCGAGCCATATGGTAAAGTCGACCCATCTCGTCGCGCGGATTAATTTCTCTGTCAGTGTTACGCGAATATCCGGCCCACAACAATCCAGATGTCCTGTGCCTCGATGCAACTGCCAGACCGACAGAGCTAACTACGTTGGGCCGAAAGCGACGCTTCGTCGCAACTGCCACCAGCCAACCACCAGCTTCATAACCTGCAAAGTTATCACGCCCGATTGCAGGTTTTCTTCCGGTATCAATTGGCTTTCCTTTCGAGGCCGTCTCGACTACATTGCTAATGGGTTGTACATGTCCTATCTTCCGAGAGCTCTCTGAAGGTCATCAAGCTGTCCTGATGCTCAAGTCTTCTCAGGGTCGCTCTTTGTTTTTGATCAACATATGGACCTTTCCATCGCAAAAACCACAAATTGACTCGGTTCTGCCACCGGAGAGAATTTGTCAAGGGATAAATATTGGGTAAATAGCACAAAATCCGTGAGGCCAAGACATCTGCCAACAGCCGTCATCGGTCACTGTCAAAGATTCAACCAAAGCATCAGAGTGCCAATCAGCGTCGATGTTCAACGGACGCAGAGTGCCATCGCTTATTCAAATGGATCCAAACACTTTTGTTGGGAGTATAAATGCAGGCAGTCAGCGCGTTCAATATCTATCGACCGGATCCGATCCGCCTTGCAACACACGTTCTCTCAACGCCGCATCGCTTTCACCATGCACCTCAAATCTCTCTTTCTCGCAGTTGCTCTCTCGGCAAGCGCACACGCTCCTTCCGCGTCCAGCGTCATTGTCAACCCCGCCGAACGCGAACTCGCCATCGGCGGGTGCACCGTGGTTGCCCGCACTGTCTCAACCACAACCCTGGGGACGACTGGCACGAAGACGTCGACCACTCCCACTACTAGTCCCACCAGCGCCACGTGTAATTGGTGTGGTATGCACTCATTCAATCATTGTGGTCCTATAGCCATCGTCGCTCATTATCCCCTCCGGTTAGAATGTTTGACTGCGCTTGCCGGCGAGAGCTTCGCCTGCGCTGCGGCAATTCTTGAAGGCGGATGTAGTGCGTGTTCACTTGATTCTGATTTTTCCTTGCACTGACGGCGCGCCCGTTCAGATCCCGTCGCAGATATTTCGTGTATCATCGATGCCGAGGCGGTTGCTCTGGTCACTGTTAGTCGCTTTCCTTTCCTTCCTCCCGTTCTATCCCGTTCTATCATTGACACTAATAATTTATCAGCCTGTTTGCATCGCATGTGTGAAGTCCGTCTTCGGGTCTTGATGCCTATTAGATTTGGCCCATGCGACGTCGGACCGTACGAAAAAAAAATGTTTTTTTTTTTTGACTCGACAAGCCAAGTACTCCGCGGCGATACCTATAATCTTCGCGTGCCGCCGTGTTTCTCAGCCCGAAATGAGCTTGTCTAGCAACGAATGAATGGTATGGCAAAAGTGAGCATAGAGAGAAAGACAGTGGATTTGAGAGAGTTAACTTTTTGGCTTGCCAAACTGGCTTGCGCCCGCGCAAACTGGCTTGTTTCGGGCGTGGGCGTGGATTTTGGTGGCATCACAAGCCCACGCCCGGCAGATCGGCTTGCAAGCCAAAATGTTGGCTTGGCAAGCCAGTTTGTCGGCTTGGCACCAGCCAAAAAACCAAAGTGGCTTGCGTCGATTGCTCACGCCACAGGCATCCACTTCCAATTCTGTGTGGCCTATCTGCATCCCCCGACTCTGATCTTTCCGGGCGTGCGCTTTTTTCACCAAGTTTCATCTGTCACCGTCACAATGTCCATCTGGCGCAACAACGACACCGAGCAACTATGGCAATACAGCGCAAGCCTGCGGGCTTGTTAAGGTCAATACATTCCTTTAGGTTCTGTTCATGTCCATACCACAGGACTGGTGGCCTCAGCAAATATTCGCGCTGATTTGGGCCCAATAGTCCCTCGACCTAGCTCTATGTGTGGAGTATTTAGTTCAAATACCTATTGTCTTTCACACTAACACTGAAAATAAGTTACAATATCAATCGGAATGCTCATACAAGTATAGTGTATGCTCCGCAGCTGCCTTGGGGCTGAACCGTTGACACAGGCAAGTCAACTTTACTCACATACAAAAGTCAACCACCACAATTCTTCGTTTTTTCATCGAACGGAGGTCAGAATCCTGGGTACAAGTACCTACCATTGATTTAGGCTTCCATAATCCGAGCTTTGTGCCTTTTGTCCCACAGGATCGAACCAATATTGGTGATATGGCTTATGCTTGTTTCCGTGCGTGTGGGTGCACGTACACTCGGAGTTTTAGTTCATCAAGGTTGAATAATCATCCGGCACATAAGGCGAGGGTCCCGAGAGCTCAGCGACAGTCGGAATGGTACAATTGAACTCACCTTAAGAGCACCTATGTCTCGGGCGGGTACTTGAGCAAAGTGGCTTGTGTCACGTGCCACAAGCCAGTTTGTCGACCAAAATGGCTTGTGCGGGCGTGCGGCGAGAAAAAAAACGCGAATTGTCGACGACGTTCGACGTTTAATTTGTGTCTAAGCCATGTATCTGGGTCGAAATCGGGGCAAGACAATCAACGGTGCACCCGTGGTACGTAGACGAACATGAATTGGACCCTAAATGGGCAGGCGTGGGTTTGCGCAAACTGGCTTGGGCGTGACAAACTGGCTTGTGGATGCCCAAATTGGCTTGAAGGATGGCCCAAATTGGCTTGTGGCTCTGCAGTGACTTGGTACAGCCAGTAGCAAAGGTGTAGAACATCGGCGCGAGTCGGTACATACTGGCTTGGGTGTAACTCAAGTGTAGTGTTGGTCTGTGCAAAGTGTCTTGGACACCCCAATGTTTGCGGTTCATGAATGGTTCGAAGTTCGAGAGACACGGAAGTTCGAGAGATGCGGTGTGGGTTGCACTCTTATGACTGGCTTGGGCATGACCAAATTCGCGTGAGGCGCGTCAGATAGGCTTGCGGAAATTGGCTTGTAAAAGGTTATTGGCGAATTGAACGGTTCAAGAGCGGGTTCAACAGCGCCATGGAAACTTCGCCATTAGCTAATTGGCTTGTGCAAAGTGTACGAGCCGAGTTTACCTGTTGCACAGTGCTGGACGCGGCATGCCGTGCATGGTCGGAAATGCCACGGCTCCGGTTGAACATTGAATCGTGTGGTTGGCGTGTAGTTTGGTCTCCAACAGGCTTCGGGAAGACAGTTCACTAGAAGAAGGGGCGGAAGAGACGGCTCTGGTTGGGATTTTGGGCATAAAAGTAGCCAATAGTTCTGGTCCAAAATAGAGGCTGAGCGGTGTTGAACTTCAACGCAGTAGGCATGTGTCCTGGGCCTGCCTGGCAAAGATTGCCGTGGGCTTCTCTAGATCAGCGTGAGTCACTACATATTGGCTTGGATGTGACTCGAATGGCTTGTTGGTCTGTGCACAGCGCTTTGTACACGCCAATATTCACAAGTTCAAGATCGGTCCAACGTACTGGATGCGGCGTGGCTTGCGTTTTGCTCGCTACATATCCACAGTTCAGTGTCCGATCGTGTGATTTGTGACCCCCTCGGATGCACTGTCGAAAAAGGAATGGTAAACCCTCAGAGATTCGCAATGTCGAATATTGTTGTCAGTGTCAACATTGTCTGTTTTATTTTGGTTTTATTTCAAGATTGCAGTCCAATTAGGTGAGCCAATTCAGTAAGAAAGCTTTGCTGGGCTCCACAAACACCAGGAGCACGCTCATCGCGTCTTGAATTCAACCGTGGGATCGAAGATTGCCAAGCCATTCGTTCGGCACCCTGGGTCGGCGGAGGGTAAGCCACGAAGGGTCCAGAGGCCCCCACGCAGATGGCAGACGACGTCGGCACTTCAAACGGGTGTTATCGACACATTAGCTACGGTGGCGAGGCTTGGTGTAAGCGAGCACAAGCCAAGCCAAGCCGCCCACGCCCACGCCCACGCCCGCCAAGCGAAATTCAAACTCCGCTAAGCGGCGCAAGCCAGTTTGGCACGCCAGTCGGAGAAGTCTGGTGGATTTGAACATACAGTCCTAAACTAGGAAGCGCAACAAACGTAGAAGCGCAACACGCGCGTTCGGCTGTTCCCTGACCTCAAGTATACGCAAAATTTGGTACAAACACACTAGAAGATCCCCTCATGTAGCCTATACAAAGATCTGGCCAGAAAGTCTCCCTGAAGATTGAGAAATGGCCATGTTTGTTTGCCGTGTAAACAGCGTGTCCGCCACTGATCGCCGTACAACGGGGAGAATCGATTTAGGCGGCTGATTGCAAGGTTGAGCATGGCATAGGGTTTTCAGGGTCTCTCAGTACAGCTGTACAAATTTTCGTCCCAAAAGAAATAGCCTAAGAGGTCGGTTCAGCTAATTAAAGTTGTTGCGCTTCTACGTAATTTGTGCAAATTTGGTTGTTTGCAAAGATCGGGCTCGTTCTCAACAACTACGCGCCCAAACACCAAAGGGTGAGTTGAAGCGTAGACTTCGTATTCCAACGGTCCACTTCACAACTTGGGGTGAGTGCTTCCGTGAAGAATTGGCTGAGATCAAGGCCTGTTCAGCTTTGATGTTGCGCTTCCTTAGACTAGTTTAGAACTGTACGTAAGTTGAACATCGAATTAAATTCAACCACACCGATTGTACAGTTGTAATTACCAGACAGCTTATTTCAGCCTAAATCGAGCAGTTTGTCGGTGAAAAGAGAATACGGCAAGAAAGGCTCGGTGGTGGATGGTCCACATCTGCCTTCCCTACTGCGATATGTGGAATTGGGAGTAGAAGGCGCCTGTTCGACTCAGGCCCGAGCCTTACGGAAATTCAGCGCAGCCTTTTTATTCCGTCCCCTGTTTTACGCGAATTCTCAAGGATCCACTCCACTAGTACTTGCACTGAGGGGACAACTCGCTGGGGTATTCCTCGCTGTGCATGCTTACATATGTAAGCCACAACAGGCGTGCTGCGGATACAAGAAAGCCTGTTCGATTCGGGCCAACACATTACTCTTTCCGCTCTATCTTTTTCCTACAGCGTGTTGAAAATTGGAGCAGCAGAAGATAGGCGCGTGTGTGGGTAGGAGAAAGCCAAAGGCTTGATGGTCCGTGCTCTGCATCCGTTTCATGATTGAGATCGATGAGACGCCGCGAAGCCTGACGTTAGCCTCAGCCATTACAGGAGAAAGAATGTCATATTCCGTGAAACAATGTTCGTGTCGAAACATGATCGGTACATGAAGGCAAGGACGTGATGAAAAAGGTTCAGTGGTGGATGGTCCACGTCCGCGCTACTTGCAAAATATGTGCTATTTTGAAAGCGCAAGGCGCCTGTTCGATTCGGGCCTGAGCTATGTGGTGTGTGATTTGGAGCTTTTGGTTCTCGTGAAGTTTTTATTCTGTCAACAAGGCTGGGTGGGATGCAGAGAGAAAGACTCAGTGGTGGATGGTCCACATCTGATAATTGCGGTCCGCAATGTAATTTGAAGCGGACGGGGCCCATTCGATTCGGGCCTGAGCCATAATAGCGCGCTGTGTTTCATTCCTCGTGTGCATGGATTTTTCGACCATCTAGTTCTAATCAACGTTCAACTTCAGTTTTTCTCTCTCTCTGAAACCGGGCACGGGTTGAGGGTATATGTAGGGTGAAACAAGGCTCGATGGGTGGTCCACATCTGCACGACGTCGAGGGGAAGTCATGCGATATAGCAGAGGGCGCCTGTTGATTCGGGGGCGAGCCGTAAGCGTGACGAGAAGATTTTTGCTTCGGTTCGAGACTCTGGTATGATTGGGCGAAGGACGGGGTAAGGGGAGATTGGCTGGTGGTGGAGGGTTGAAAAAATTGACAGCTCAGAGAAGTCGGAAGCGACGGGGCACGATGTGACATGATCAAACTGAAGTCAATAATCCTCTAGATTTCAATGGACGGCCTAAAAACTGGTGTGCATGTATTGAAGGCAAAAACAAGCAAGCACACGGCTCGGTGGTGGATGGTCCACGTCTGTATAACGTTCGCCAGCGGATATCAGTGTGGCAGATGAAGCCTGTTCGAATCAGGCCCGAGCCATTATGCTGCTATCGGTTTTTTTGTCTCTGAAAGCTCTGCAGATCTGAAGGCCGAACGAGGTGGTTTCCCGAAGGCAATGGAAAGTCGAGCTTAGATAGGGGACAGCGAGGTGTAAGAGAAGGCTTGGTGGTGGTCCACATCTGCGTTCTGTGGCCAAGCGAAAGCGTACATAGCAAGCAGAAGAGTCCGTTCGATTCGGGCCCGAGCCATAGTGAGATTTCGTGCGCGTTTTTTGGGATGAACGTCAAACATTTATACAGCTCGGGGAAGACGTCCCATCGGTCAAACATGAATTAGGCAATATCATTGATCCGAGTTTAGGAAGTACAGCGGCCTCGGAGGCTCGGGATAGGACCAGCTTTGAGTACAGTCACGGCCCCACCACAACGCAGCCTCCCTCGGGCTCTCCGTGTCCCGCATTCCCGGCACGAAAAGACAGATTTCTCGTCCCTTGTTCAAATTGACCAATATCTCGCCTCGGAAAACCCTCGCGACACCGACATTACTTGTGACAAACACGCGTACGTGCTGACCTCTCGTGTTCTCGATAACTAAATAACTCGCTAGATGATCTCATCACTCCGTATGCAAGCGCGAAGATTGTCAAGGATACCATGGGAGACTCCGCGCGTCTCCTCCTGCAAGGCTCTGCTGGTGAGTTCGGCCTCTGAACTATGAAGTGTACGTATACAACCTTATGGGCCCACAGGTCATTCGTACCTTGCGCCGACCACCGACTGCGCGACCAAGGTGATTCAGAATTATTTTGCAGGTGGAATTATTCCGGACGAGCCCGAGATTTGGTTACAGTGCGAGCGCGAGGTCGACAATTATTTCAAGGATCTCAGCGCAAGTTCTGACCTGGTCGAACGAGTCCTGGGGAAGAATTCCGGTTATTAACCACTGTTTAAAAACAATGCATTCGAGAGTGTCGTGCTTTGATCGGCTTTGATCGTAGGGCTTTGGTCACCGGTTTTTTTTCAACTCATCCCGAAACTATGCTCTGACAATCTATTCATACAATTACCTGCGGCTCGTAATACATATTGTGCTTCCTCACTCGCTATCTGAGGCGCTACTCTCAAGGACAGTAATTCTATACATCGTCTCCTGATATTCAGCTTTCGTTAGAGCGGAAGCTGATTTGCGCCCGGCTGAAAGATTCCGGATTCAGGTCCTGTTTCCGGCTTTCCTCTTCCTGTTATTACGAAAAGGATCAGCATCGACAATGCGCGATGTGGGCTTGCGGTGGAAACGCACGCGTCTGTTGGTCATCTCGATGTCGTCGTGCTCGTCGTGCTCGTGAGTATCTGTGGGCGACACGATAGTTGTACGCCCCACATCTAATGCACGTCGTCAGTATGTTATGCACAATGCACAAAGTTCAACTTGAGACAAATAGGGAAAAGACGAACGGATCCCGTCTATCACGATACTGGTGTACGGCGCAACAGAGTTGTGATTGTTCCTGCTAGACGACAACGTCCGACTTCCTGACGATTTACCGCTTTGCCGCAGATTGAGGTTGGAGACGAGCGTGAGCACGTAGAGGGGGCCAAGGAGGAAGTAGAATACGGAGGAGACTATTTCGACATGGTTGAGTATGGCAGGGAAGTGCTGCCGGTTGGATTGTGAATATGGGATGAAGGTGCTCACTGTTGCCGAATACCTCGATCACAACGGCGGTCATGCCCCCAAGAGCCACCAGGCTCGTCGCGCATCCGTTTTGAATCAAGGTGATGATAATGGGACGGACGATTCTTGATGTATGGAGCGGATTGAACGGCGAAGGGCACAGAGCAAAGGAGGAACGCACGAATCAGTGTTTTTGAACGGGCTCATCCTCCGCAGTGTCCAAATTAGCGATGCGGCGATGCAGACGTCTGTTTGGTGTGAGTCATGAGGCGCACCCAAGGGGTCCCGGACGCCTGCGTACCAGCGGCGGCACTGGCAATTGCCCAGATGAGTCCCAGGGTTTTTGCCCTCTCAAGCTATGTATCGTCGGAAAATGAACATCCAGTGGGAGGTCGACGGGTGCTTACATTTTCCACGCCGGGGAATAGCAGAATGGAAAGGAAGGCCATGACGAACTGGTTAAGTGTGTTCGGTCACCGTTAAACTGGAATTTGCAATCACCACGTACCACGAACAGAATGATCCCGCATAGAATAACCGTTATCATAATATTCTTGGACCTGCAGCGGTGAGTGAGTAGAGACATAACGAGCGCGAAATGGGATTCGCCTACAATATGTAGAATCGGGATATTAGGTAGGAGTTTACGGTCAGGGCGACCAACGAGTTGAAAACGGAGTACACCGGGACCTGGTTGAAGGTGAGCGTGACTTACTTGAAAGGAAGCTTGGATGTAACGTACAGCCCAAGTCTGTCCCAAGAAATGAGATGTATTATTTTCGTCGATGAAAGCGACGTACTTCTGTCACGAGAGCCGCCTGCTTTCCTATGATTTCTTGTTAATCAAGATTGTTTGTAAGAGTAGGAAACGGCCGACCCCAGAAGGTAATGGCTGGCTATCGATTTGTTCAGTACACGAAGAGATGATAGGTGGGTAAGCAAACGGACCATGTAAACGTCTGCATATTCGCCGACCAGCGCTACGAAGGAGAACGACAGACTCAGGACCACCAGACTCTTCCGGAGCATGCCGTCGTTCGGGAAGTTGTTGAAGTACTGAAAAGCCTGCGAGACGGCCAATCCGAACAGAAACGAAGCGAGCCACGTTCCGATTAGCCCTGTTCTGTTGAGTAGGTTAGTATCCCAGTACCAAGAAGAGAGGCGCTGAACACACCCTAATAGTGCATCAATTTGCGCCATGTTGCCCACACGGCGGAGAAGGGGGGGAGGTCGACTTCGAGACCTCGCCTTTTAAGCGGAGGGAAGTCTTCACAGGTGACACAGGATGTCACCCGTCAGTATTGCCGGTAAGACGACGTTACGTTGTTCCCTGATTGTTTGCCTGTAAAAGTTTAATGTTTAACTGCGAGTCGGTAACCTCCGTTAGTCCGCTGCTACCCCACCACTTTCTCATCTTGCAGAGCTAACGACTGAGCCGCATATTCGCCTTTCCCAAAGTATTTGGAGACTCGGGATTAAGCTCTGCACCCGGTCGCTCACGCCGCGGCGGGCGACGGTGGCGCTCGGATATTCCTAGAATCTTGACAGCGGAAGTAACTTCATGTAGCGCCGCGCCGTGGCTGTCTCTGACTAGCATCCAGGCCTTCACCACGGGTGGGTTTGGAGGAGCCAGGGAGGAGTTCTTCAAGTTCGACCAGCTTCGCCCTACTGAGTGGAAGTACTTCCGTAAATTGCATCAACTCATCGCGTTGATCGAAGCAGATCGAAGCAGATCTGGCCTCGTCTCAAAGCGTGAAGATCTGCAAGGACGCTGATCCGTTCCATAAGTTCGCCGTCGCCCCCCTCTTGCCCTCTCATCATTCAATCGTATGATCGTATCATTTTTGTTTATGCTCAAGAAGTCGAGTCTGAGTTCGCTTTCTGGACACAGCATCGAAATTTGAACCTCATACTTGAGTCTTCATGCCGTATATCATTTTCCAACACTCTGGGTCAGTATTTCTATACTTGATTTTTTTCCATAGGCAATGCCAGTCGCAACCACGTCACTTCGAGATCAAGTCAAGAACAATTCAACTCGGAGATCAACCTATCAGAGAGTGGCGGACAAAACACTGATCGGCCGGAATTTACGGCACCTGTATACCCTAATGGCTAAATTTCTCAAGGCGGTGAGAATCGATGAGCCGGAAATAAAATGGCTGGCCGCGTGAAGTACTTAGCCTGGCCCTGAGTGCGCTTCAGCATTTATGAGATGGACTTCTGGCTGCAACAACAGGTTCAACCGTGAGAATATTGCAATAATCGCATGCCCTGATCCACACTTGCATGAGTCCGTGGTGTCTGGATGCCAGGCGCTCACCGTTTTCTAATGCAATAGTGTACATACCTAGTAGGACCGCCAACGTGCTGTAGCTTTTACGAAGATGCAATTTGAACATGAAATCAAACTCCGCGATTCACTCTCGGTGACTGCCGGCTTCTTTTATCCCCAGCCACCATGCGGTGGTCCTGTCCAATAAGAACCAGAGCTGGAAGAGGATGGGACTTGTTGCATGCGCATAGTCTCAGGGGAAAAAAAACTGGAGTCCACGATCGTGATGACCGTTATTGTAAGGCCGGACCGCCTCATACTAGTTTTGGTTGAAATCGAGCAGTCTGGCAAGACCCGGGAATATGAAGAAGAGAAACTCAGCGATGGATGCTTCATGTCTGCGCTCTATGTGACAATGATCAAGCGATTTGAAGCACCGGGAGCCTGTTCGATTCAGGCCGGAGCCATAAGGAAGAGTCGCCCTTTTTTACGCATATTCCTGAAGATACACTACTGTACGACCCTGTAGGGGAGCAACGCCCCCAGGACCGTGACATGGCCGTTGCCTCTTTTTCAGGCAATGGACGGATGGTGACCGTGACCGTTGCTCCCCTACAGGGTCGTACAGTACTCAGCAAGCACCACTGGCATTCCATTCCTCTCACGTAGAATAGGAATGCGATTAGGAAGACTCCGGAATCTGAAAGAGCCTGTTCGATCCGGGCCGACACATTTCTCTTTCCGCTCTGGTTTTTTTTGGTGGTATCCTGTGTGAATTATACGTGTACAGAGGGCACGTATGTAGACTCAGAACGATTCATGGCCCATAATTTGCATACATTCTGTGGCCAACATCGCGTAGTTCAATATTCGTTACATTCGAACCAGATGGGCTGTCGAAAGGAGCTGGGTCGTTCGATCCCGGAATCTCGTGTCTCCACGATTGAGATTAATTGAAGACGGACAATTCTGTCAGGTCCAGTGAGGGATGGTCCACATCTTGTCCACTGGGGCAAGGAGTAGAATGTATAGCAGAGGGAGCTCACTTGATTCGGACCTGAGCCATACGCTGAATGATATGTCGTTGTTTCCCCCTTATGTTTAATTTTAAATTATGGATATGCAAGCTCGTGAAGTAGAACAATGCTGACTTCCAACGACGTGAGTCCTGGTAGATGTTCCAAGTCTGCAATACCTCACATACTGTACGCATCTGTAGGTAGGCAACGGTCACGGTCACGCTGGACTGGTTGCGTCGCCGACGTATGCGCGGGTCACGGTCACGGAGGCCGCTGGCGCATAAATCCGCTCAAAATCCGCCTCAAAGCCGCATCAGAACCGTGGAAAACTGCCTTATTTGGTAATTTTTGGGCGCTTGTTGCGTTGCCCCCGTCGATTGAGCATGTCACGGTCGGCGGGCGGTTGCCTACCTACAGATGCGTACAGTAGTCAGGTTCAACACGTCATCACTTAAAAAGCCAAGGCACTCGTTCGATTGGGGCCCGAGTCAACACAAGGTGGGTTTGATCTTTTTTGGCAGCTTGGAATTATTTGGTACAAGGAAGAGCAGCAATAACGTTGAAAGGGCTCAGTGGTGGACGGTCCACATCCGCCAAAACGTTGGGGTTTCTAGCCATTTCCGTTTCCAGTAGAACCAGCCCGTTCGATCCGGGCCTGAGCGATATACTGGACCACGTCGAAGTCTTTTTCTTCCGTTATGGATACGCAAGCTCGTGGAGTAGAACAACTTCATAGAGATACAGAGAAGAAAGGCTTCGGTGGTGGATCGTCCACATCTGTGTTACTTCACCGCGTTTTGTTTGGAATGTCAAACGGAAGGAGCTCGTTCGATTCGGACCCAAGCCATGCTTCTGGTTCATATCTTCAAATTTTTTGACAAAGAAAATGTGTGCGGATTGAACGGAACCCAGTGTATGATCGTTCGATTCGGGCCCATGCTTCTAGTGTCGTGCAGATTTTTTTTCCTTTTGCTGCAGACATTCTGTGCAGCTGTAAGTGCCCCTCGGCGTCCGTCTGCGTGAGGTTTATCGGCGTCAATAATGACGAGGTCGAAGATAGAAGCGGGGTCAACGTTCGGATTCTCTCTCTCTGAAAACGGCAATAGAAATTCGAGGTGGAGAAGCAAGGCTTGGTGGTGGATGGCCCACGTCTGCCTTCCGTGAAGAGCAGACGGCATCGTAGCAAGCAGAAGAAGCCCGTTCGATTCGGGCCCGGGCCATGATTGAGTGTCCCAGATTTTTGTCTGAATGAACATCAAATATATAGTCGTCGGCTTCGGGGAAGACATCCCATCACTCAAACGTGAGTTCAAATGGTAACGTGAGTTCAAATGGTAACGAGGCAAATCGATTCAAAGTGTCATGGCAAAGCATTGTGGCAAAGTGTGAATTAGACGTCGGCTCGGAGACGCGGGGACAGGACCAGCTTCAAGTACAGTCACGCCTCCACTGCGAGCGCTCCTTGTCCCCAGGATACCGAGCACAAGAGGACGGCGTTTCCGAGAGACGACTTTGTTCAGAGGCACGCGAAAGGCACTGGAGCAACCCAAGACTGGAAGAGAATGGAGACGAAAGACAGGGAAGGGGCAGGGAAGAAGCGAGAGGAATGAGTGGCAGACGAAGGAGAGATGTAGGAGACAGGAGGGAAGGGAAGGAGCGAGAGTCGCCGGCTGAGGTTCTCGTCAATTCTTGGAGTGCTTAGGCGCCGTGGGCGTCAGCTCGGTGATGCGAGAAGTAGTTGAGTAGAACTGAATTTGCACGGGTGAAGAGGAGAGACGCGGGGAGAGGCGTGGACACGCGTAGGGTGCGTGCTTCAAGTCAGCCTAAGTCGTTTCTTGAGCTTTATTAACATTGAGAGTCTGGGACACGCTCGGCTTGCGCTCGGCGAAGAGTGAAGATAGCCATCCAGCGGTTATGGCATTTTCGGCGGAAATCAGGAGAAACATGAATAGCGCGGGATGATATCAAGTAGCGTTGTAGTCGGCAGGATAACAGTGTAGCAAATGAATGGTGGTGGTCGTTTCAAAAAAAGCGAATAGCACAGCCACCCTCGCAAGCTTGCTATGCCCGTCGATCACCAGCGCCAATTCACCGCTTGTACGACGACACTACTATGAGCGCAGCCTACACCCCGCTGCCCACGTCAAATGGATACCCCCCGCCCCAGTCCCACACAATCCTCTCCCGCCTCACCCCCGCCGCTCCCCCGACACGTATCCGCCGTCTCCTCGCATTCATCGCTGTCCTCGCCCTCAGCTCGACTCTGCTCGTGTATTTCGTATTCTCGCCGGCATTCTCTCCCTCTGGGTTCCCCTCTGGGTCATCAACAACTTCGAGCTCAGACTCTTACGACGACTATGCCGAATCGGGCGGGGACGGTCCCTCGTCGCCGTTCTTCCGCGACACGCACCCGGCGCTACACGCGCGCCTCTTCCTCGCGCGCGCACAGGCGGAGATCCGCGCGCGCAAGCTCGACACGTGCAACGGCCAGCTCGGCACGCGCATGGTCGACGCGTACATCGACAACGCCGTCCCGTATTGTAGTTCCAACGGTGCGCCAAATCCCGTATGATTCCCATTCAAATGTATTTAGCTGGAGACAGACTCGCCCACGGCAATAACCTGCTTCCCCGCCGGCCGCGCCGCGCCGAAGGACACGCCCAACGCGTGGTGGCCGTACCCGCAGGCGTTCTGCGCCTCCAACCAGCTCACCCACGCCACGGGCTGGGGCGGCAACGTCCCCGCGCGTGGCACCTTCGAGGGTCAGTGCACCGTCTCTGAGGACGGCGAGCGCCTCAAGGCCGATATGGGGCGCGAGATTTTTCTCGGGAAGGAGTTTGCTGAGGGTGCGCGTTCTTTATTTCTTTTGTTTTAAAGGTGGAATGCTAATGATGGAGGAAATTTAAGGCGGCGACGGCGCGTGCGGCGAAGTCGTCACGCACCCCGTCCTCTTCATCCACCGCCAAGACCGGTGGAACCCATTCCACGTCGGCGAGGACCTCGTCACCACCTTCCTCGCCCTCACCATCTTCTCGCGCCAGCCCTCTTCCCCCTCCTACTCCGCCTCTACCGAACACGCGCTGTGGCGCTCCCTCTCCACCACCTTCGCGTCCAACAACGAGAAGGCGTTCAAGAAGGAGGCGAAGGCGCTGGCGGGGCAGCTAGAGCACACGCAGGACCTGCAGCTGGTGTTCCAGGACGAGCATCTGCCGACGGCGTCGTTGTTTGCGCCGTTGTATGATCGGTTGGGGGCGTTCCCGCCGAGGAGGACGGCGGCGGAGGGGTTGGGCGAGGGGGGTGAGTGCTGTTTCCTTCTCTTTCTTTAACCTCCTTCCCTCCTTCCCTCCTTCCCTTTTCCCTCCTTCCCTTCTTCCCTTCTTCCCTTCTTCCCTTCTTCCCTTCTTCCCTTCTTCCCTTCTTCCCTTCTTCCCTTCTTCCCTTCTTCCCTTCTTCCCTTCTTCCCTTCTTCCCTTCTTCCCTTCTTCCCTTCCTCCCTTTTCCCTTCTTCCCTCCTTCCCTCCCCTCCCTTCTCTTCCTGCCTTACTCCCTCCTTCGTTTCATTCCTCGATTTAAATGTGAATACTAAAACACGTCCCAGGCCGCACCTGCTTCGCGCGCGCCTTCCACTCCGTCGGCGCGGGCGCCTCGCTGCTGAGCGCGACGGGCGTGGGGCGCGAGCACCGGTGCGCGAGCGAGCTGGTGTGGGGCGCGAGTTTGTGGTTGAGGTGGGTGTGGGGGTTTGAGGGCGTGCCGGGGGGTGGGGTTGGCGGCTACGACTTGGAGTTGCAAAGGCGGGGCGATTTGGCTTCTTCCGCTGGGTTGGGCTTGGAGAGGAGGGCAGGTCCGGAGGGGGAGGAGGAGGAGGAGAGCAGGGAAGGGATGCAGAGGAGGGCGCCGATAGCGGGCGGGAGGGGGAGCACGGAAGAGCCGATCCAGGTGTTGTTCCTGTCGAGGGAAAAGTACGATGCGTATACGAGGTGTGTGCTACTCGATTTCCTGTCCCTGCACCCTTCTTTTGCGTCCAGGTTTTCGTCTTTTTTTTTGTTGCGTCGAGTATGGCGCTCCGAATTACCGGCGCGGAGCTTAGGGCGGCGGCGCTGTGGAGCGTAGGCTGGGCTGTTGGTAGTCCGTCGCGTTGGTGTACTACGCGACGGGACAGGTTCTACTCGACGTGGTACCTACTTGCCGACTTACATCCTTCCATTCCTCTCTCCCACCTCCGATCTTCCCTCCTCCCCCTCCCTCCTCCTCCCCTCCCTCTTCCCCCTTCCCTTCCCCTCCCTCCTGCCCTCTTCCTCCTCCCTCCTGCCCTCTTCCTCCTGCCCTCCCTCCCTCTTCCCTTCTTCCTTCCTTCCTCCTCATTCTGCATTACGCGCACTAACGCCCACCCAGACACACAAACCACAAGCTCACGCCCTGGCAGGAGGCGCGGCACATCCAGAACGAGGCGGAGCTGCGCGCGGGGCTGCGCGCGGGGCTCGCGGGGCTGTGTCGGGTCGTTACGGAGGTTGTGGGAGGTGAGTGCGAGTCGAGGCGTGGTGTTTTCTTTTTTGGGTGGGAGGAAAGGGCGCTGGACGCGTTTCTTCGTGGGCGCGACGAATCGCGTCGGCGAGCCCTTCTCTCCATGCCCCGAGGAATCCCCTCTGTTCCTCCCCTTCTAATCTCAAATCCTTACATCGACGCAATACTAACTACCGCTCTCACTTCCAGGCCCCGCCCCAGACACCCAATCCCACACCCCCGGCTCGTACGACTGCGCGTACACGGACACGGACGCGCTGCCCGGCGCGTGGGGTGTGCGGATGCATGCGCGGGAGGCGAGGGCGTTGGGCGTGCGTTCGTCCAGGCCGGCGTCGGATTCGGACTCGTCGGAGGCGAGCGGGGGAGAGGCGGGGGGTGCGAGCGAGGCAGGAGGGGGAGGTGGTGGTGGAAGCGGAGGAAGCGGAGGAAGCGGAGGAGAAGAAGGAGGAGCGGGAGGTGGTGGAGATGGGGGCGAGGGCTCGGCGAACGACCGACGGTCGGGGCGGGTGTTCGGCAACGCTACGCACCCGCATGCGCTGCCTCTCCGCTCCTACCCCTCCTCAGACTCCCCATCAGACTCCTCAGATTCCTCCCACCACACCTCATCCTCAGACCCCACCAAACGCGCCCTAAAACCGCGCGCCCTCCGCTTCGCGACGCTCGACCCCACGACGAGCGCGCTCCCCGCCCAGCTCGGCGCCGTGGGGCGCGCGGACGTGGTCGTGAGCGTGCACGCCGGCGCGCTGGGGCTGACGCTGTTTATGCCCACCGGGAGGGCGAGCGTGGTGGAGCTGATTACGGATGGGGCGCAGGGGGTGCGTGATTTTCTCTTCTCTTTTCTTTTCTTGTGCTTTGCGGGGTCTTTCTTTTGCTCGGGAGATGGAAGATGCGGGCGGGCGCGGTACGCACTTGTGCTGACCTGTAGCCGGCCAGGCGCTCACGGGACTGCATTGGGCGGCGCAATGAAGCACGGCAGCACGGATCTCTACATGCTGTTTTCCCGTGTGCCCCTCCTTGTTTCTCCGTCCACCCGTCTTTGTTTCTCCGCCTACCCGCCCACCCTTCCTGCCGCATACCCGTCCACCCACCCAGCCTTCCTTCCGTATACCCGACGTCCCGCATACCCGCTTTCCCGTTCTCTCTTGCATCACGCTATTACCCTTCCCTCTACCCAGCTTTCCCCGTTTTCCCTTGCTTGCTTGCTTCCTCCTTCCTTCCTCCTATTTTCCTCATCCTATTCCCTCCACTCCGTCCGCCGCCCCCGGCGTTCTCTACCGTGTGTTTCTTTCGGTTTTGCGGGACCCGGCTTACCGGCTTACCGTGCTGTGGCGCCCTTTGGGCCCGCACACCCGTTCCGCCCATCCTCCGCCTGCTTATCCCATCCATCCATTCACTCATCCATCTGGTCCGCTCTCCCTCTCCCCGAGATCGCTTCGTGTCGTCCGTGCTCCCGTGCTCCCACCCTTCCGCCTTGCCGTTTTCCCGTTTTCCCGCTTTCGCCATCCTGCCTTCCCTTCTGCCCCTTCCTCTTCTGCCCCTTCCCATGTTTCTGCTTTGCTGTCCTGTCGTCCCCCTCTTTCTTTCTCATGTCAATGACACATGGCCTTCCGGGTGTTCTCCCTGCCTACTTTCCTTCCGTTCGCATACCCTCTTCTCCTTCCTCCTTCCCTCCGAAAGTGCCCAACGCTGACACACCCCG